TATCTGACCTTATGACCTTAACACACCTACCAAACTGAGTTTTAGCATACATAATGAATTGTTTAATGACCAGACATACATCAGACTTCAACTTTAACAAGTATACCCAAGTTAACCTTGAAAAATCATCCACTATAGTGAGAAAAAACATGTTACCATCAAATGTAGGAACTTTGTAAGGACTCCAAACATCCATGTGTACAAGATCAAAGTATGCTGAAGTTTGTATACTACTTGTAGGAAATGAGTTTCTAACTTGTTTTGCATAAGGACAGACAGTACAATTATTCAATGTATTGGCTATACTATCAGTTTTTACAAATATAAGCTGGTACAAGGTCATACTATCAATCTTTACAAATATAAGCTGGTTCAAGGACTTTGTAGATGCATGTCCAAGCCTTTTGTGCCACAATTCCACAGTTGTAGCCTTCTCATGAGCATGATTTTCTTTTACAACAAGAACACATCACTGTTTTGAGACTGCTGCAACTTTGTACTTCCAGTAAGAATATACAGTCCATTCTCCTCTCTACCAATCTCCCTCACCCTTCCATTTGAGAGATCCTGAAAGAGGCAAAAATTAGGAAAGAAACTCACTGAGCATCCTAACTCTTTTGTGAGCTTTGACACAGACATTAAATTGAACTTGAACTGTGGTATATGCAATACATTAGTCAAAGATGTCCTTGTAGTAACAATACTAGATCCAGCATGAGTAACTTTAACAACAACTCCATTAGGTAAATAAACTCCTCGAGACACTATAACAGGTTTATTTAACAAGTTGACATCTACTACCATATGATTGGTAGCTCCAGTGTCTATTATCCATTTCTGTATGTTGTTAACTGAATAAGCAAACTAATTAATACCTGCTAGATTGGCTGAAGAGACTGAATTTGCAGAAGTAATGTTGTCACTTATATTCTTCAATAAGTTTACAATTTGACTATATTACTCATTGGTAAATGGATACAATTCTAGTTCAGACTCTCTGTTCTGTGAAGAAGACTTAGTCTTTTATGTCATTCTTTTCCTTTGTAATATGCCTTACTTCCTTCAAATACATTCTCAAATGTATCTCCCATTATTTCACACTGCTCAGATTCTTGAAAATGATCATCATCGCATTATGGGCCCTTGCACTTGAGTGATAACTACTATATCCTGCATGTACTCCTTTCTTTTTGAACCTGTTATAATCTAATTGATATCCCACTAACTTGTAACACACTTCTTTGGTGTGTCCTTTCATTCTAAAAAACTCACACTGTACATTGTAATTCTTCTTGTATCTGGTAGCACCATTCCTTATAAACATAGCCATATCAAAATTACTGCCACTTGATGCAAGATTTGCACTTAAAATTCCAGAATTTGCACCTATAGACCTTTGTCCTTCATCACTAATTATCAATCCATAAGCCTGATTGATTGATGGCATATGACTCATAAGCAAGATCTGACTTCTTGCTTGGTTATAAGAGTCATTAAGCCCTATGAGGAATTGAAACAATTTTAACTTCTGCAAATGAACTACAAACCCTTTGGATTGTTCACAGTTACAACTGGGACTTGGAACAAGAGCTTCAAATTCTTCCCACAGATTTTTCAGTCTAGAGAAATATGTAGAAACTGTAGCAGTACCTTGACTTAATGTAGCAATTTCCTTGTGCAGATTGAAAGTTCTTGAACCATCAACCTTGTTAAACCTCTCATCCTATACTTCTTGAGCATGCGAGGCATACATTATACCTCATAGTAGATTTTTTTCTACTGAATTCATCAACCAAGACAATACCATAACATTCACTATTTCCCAATGATTCCCCATCTGTTTTGGAAACACTTATTTCTTACAGGAACCATCAACTATCCCCAATTTATTCCTTCCAAGCAAAGCTACTCTCATTGATCTGTACCAAATTGAGTAATTTTCAACCCATGTTAACTGAAACAAAATTATTTGCGTGCCACTTACATCAGCCGGAGAAAGAAACAAGGGATGATTATAGGCAATTCCTGTCTTCTGACCAGATTCAATTATTTGTGGCTGTGTAGACTATTCTCCAACCACCACCATTGAAACTATAGAGGATTTTCAATTTCTTCCACCTGAACTGAATGATTCTTGATCTGTCGATCTGACTTGTGGATCAATCTTTTCAACCAGTGTAACTAGTTGTTTAAGCTCTGATACCATGAAAATGTATGAAGAAAGTTACAAGAAAGAACTGAACTGCTAAGAAGAGAAGAGAATAGAAGAGAAGATTGGAAGAAGAAGCAGATTTTAGAGTAAACAAAATCTTGTTATTCTCATTCCTTTTCAATGTCTTAAAAGAGGCTTATGAGTACGATTTAAATAGACTTCACAAACAAACTTAATTCTAACTAACCATATCAATTAACTAACTAACTTTTAAGAAGTTAGTTAACCCTGTAACTAACTTTTAACTACTCACACTATTCTTGAGTCTTTAAGTTATTCCTTCAATAGAATTGAACGAAAGTAATTAAGGAGTAATTAAAAAAACGCACAGTAGCACATATCAATCTTTTATTATTTTTTAAGAAAATAGTTTTAAAAAAATTGTATTCAACAAAATTTAATAAAATAATCGAAATGAGCATCTTTCTATAAAAAAAAAACAATTTAAAACAAAATTGTATTTAACAAAATGTAATGAAAAAATTATTTAAATTAGTTGGGTGACTTTCTAAGTAAAATATCAATAGTTGAGTGACTTTCTAAGTGAAATGACAATAGTTGAGTGACTTTCTAAGTAAACTATTCAAAATTAAGTGAACTATTCAAAGTTGGGTGACCATCTGAGATATTATCTCTTGTTATCGTAAAAGTGAAAGTATTATTTTTTATCGATTATTATTGATATTAGAAATTAGAGTAATATTTTGACCTCCATAGATAACATGGATGATATATGGTTGACATTAGTAATCGTAATATTTTGACCTCCATAAATAAATATATGGTTGATATTAGTAATACATTGACCTCCATAAATAGCATGGATGATATGAATGCTTGTATTTTATAAACCAAAAACAACGAAATAAAAAGGTACAAACAATTCTAATACTCTTCTCGTTTCATATTAGTGGATCATTTTATTAAAAATAATTATTTCGTATTAATTGTCTACCTTACTAAATTAAGAAAACATTAATTAATTTTTTTCTATTTACCCTTACAATTAATTTTTTTTAAAGTGTTTACATTTGTTTTGTAAAATTCTCAAAAAGTTTTTAAAGGGGTGAATTACTAATAAAATTATCTTCTTATTTATAATTTTTTAATATATGTGTAAAAAATAAAAATGAACAACTAATATTAAACGGGGAAGTAATAAAAAGAAAAAGAGAAACGACAAGATGTAGCTTAGCTGTTTGGACCATTTCTATTGTTTGTATCTCTTCTTGTTTTCTTGGTTAACGGTCACGTTTAATTATGGGTAATGTCTCATCTTCATTAATAAGCTGTCATTATAAGACAAAGTTTTCTTTATTTTTTACGACACCAAATAGACTTTAGAACATGCAAATAATAGAAAATTACAGTACCTATTGACTAATATTGTTAGTTGACAATCAATTTAGTGGGGATTTTTTCTCCTCTCAATTTTAGACTATGCTTTCGTGGATTTTATACTTTAAAAATTACATCACCTCAAGTAATTTCGAATATATTTTTGGTAAGATGTATTTTGTGATATATTTTTGGAACGTATCAAGTAACTTTTTGAAAAATTTAAAAATAATTAAATGATGACACATCAAATAGAACAAAAGGAGTAAATATTACCTTTTTCATTTCAATATGATTGTCTAATTTTAATTTTTCTAAAGGTTATTGTTGGTAAGATAAAAAAAACACTTCAAGTTCATTGAGTGACACAACAAGTCAAAGGGTTTAAAATAATGTGGTTAAACAACTATAAATGTCTAGATGAAACCTAACAAAAGGATCGAGTTGATAGATTAGGAACATGTAAAAGGGTCATTCAAATTATTTTCAATAGACGAGATAGTAATAGATTCAACCATTACTATAAAAGCTATTGAACATCAATGGTATCGAAATGCGCCTCTTTTTGAGGGTGATTAAAGTGTAGTTGAATATAGTTCGCGAAGTATTTGACTTACCAATAATCTCTTATTCCTGTCATCGAGAGACTTTAATAACTTTAGTATGCCAAAAAAAGAGAGTTGCTCCTAACATAAGAACCTATGGTTCCATTTTGTTGTTGTTGGAGGTATACATCCTTTTTTGGCATGAAACGATATAAGAGAAATAAATGTCCGATGTAATTTTAGTTTTTGGTTTATAGAGAAGTGAGAAAAGGTGTAAAGGAGATTGAGGAACCCTGAGACTTACGTCAGGGTTCCCGTGACTTTAGTTTTTGACTCAGCCAAAAAGTAAAACAGATCTATTTTATTTTTTTTGGTGTAGCATACGTAGTAGACACAGAGATGAGAAGATAAAGACTACACACAGTCACACAGTACTCACATTACACTCTCTTGTTTGTTCCTTCTTCTCCCATTAGTCCTTTTCCTTAAAACAAATCTTTCTCCATCAACACACAAATCAGTCCCAATTTCTTGTTTTTGTTCCTTCTTCCTCTCAACATTTCCCAACTCCTTTTCATTCTTTGTAATAACATAACTAATCTCTCTGCAAATATGGATCTCTAACGTAATTCCAAGATCCCCCCTTTTCTGCTAATTAAAATATGCATCTTTACTACGCTTCCTGATCAAGAAAATGCACACACCATTCCCCATTCTTGTTATTTCATAAATATGTCTGCAAAATTGTATCTTTAACTCTTTCAACTGTCAGCCACAATACTGTTTATCACCATTCTTCTTCTTTTTCTTCCATTATAACACATCCAAGATTACCCCTTTCTTCCCTCAAGAGATGCATACAGTAGATTCCACAACCCCACCAGTCACATAGTGTACTCCACACTCACACCAGTCCTTTTTCTGCAAATATGCATGGTTAACTCTTCCAAGACTACATTTTTACTCAAGAAATGCCTCCAGAAAATCCATTTTCACCTCCCCTAACACCTCTTCCTGTTTTTCCCACCACCTACCTCATACCCCCACCCCCACCACCCTCCTCCAACCATCACCATTCTCATTCTCCTCTCATCCCACCATTCATAGCTGCTGCTTTTGCCTTAACTTTCTTCATTGTTGCTGCTATCATTTACCGGAAAGTGTCACGCAACAGGACTGTTCCTGCAGATCTGAAGTCACCTCCACCACCTCACAAGTTTACCTACTCTGTCCTCCGCCGTGCTACGGGGTCATTTACAGCTGCTAATCGTCTTGGACAAGGTGGATTTGGGTCTGTTTACAAAGGTGTTCTTCCATCTGGACAGGAGGTAGCCGTGAAGCTCATGGATGCTTCCGGCTCCCTCCAGGGCGAGAGAGAGTTTCACAATGAACTCACTCTCGCCTCGAGGATAGACACTACGTCTTGCCATTACGTAGTGCCTATCCTCGGATTCTCCTCCGATGAACATAGTTATAAACACCACTGTTCTAGTCGGCGGAGGAGAAGATTAGTTCTTGTTTATGAGTATATGCATAATGGGAGTCTGCAAGATGCTTTGTTAGATCGAAAGTGTCCTGAGTTAATGCAATGGAGAAAGAGATTTGATATTATAAGTTCCATTGCAAAGGGTGTTGAGTATCTTCATTACTCGTGTGATCCTCCTATAGTACATGGGGATATCAAGCCCTCTAATATATTGTTGGATTACCATTTTGATGCAAAAATAGCTGACTTTGGCCTAGCACAGTCTTTGATTAAAGATGATCAAGTTGTTGAGTCTTTCATTGAAGATGAGGAGAAAGTTGAAAAGGGGGCAAAAGGAGAAGTTTTTGAGAATGTGGAGGAAAATGGGTCGATTCTTGAAGGAAATGAGAGTGTGGTCACAGATGAGGTTGTGATCAATGTGGATCAGTTGCCGGAGAGTTGTTGTGTGAGGGTGTTGGATGGGGAAGTGGGAGGGGTGTCACCTGAGGTGGGAGTTCCATCAGAGGGGATCGAAAAGACTAGTGTTTCTGAGGGTTTTTTCGACGGGGTTAGTGTGGATAGTGGAGTTTTGAAAGGGATTGGGAGGGGAACTAGTCAATCAGGTAGAGATTGGTGGTGGAAACAGGACAATGTGAATGGTGGATCAGATTCTGGTAGGATTAAGGACTATGTGATGGAATGGATTGGTAGTGAGATCAGAAAAGAGAGGCCTAAGAAGGATTGGATCGCAACCACGAGTGCAGCAGAAGACATTGCCAAAGGGGGGCAACAGAAGCAAAGAAAGAAGCTTGAATGGTGGGCATCTTTGGATGAGGAGAGAACGAAGAGAGAAAAGAAGAATAGGAAGCCAAGAGAATGGTGGAAGGAAGAGTTCTGTGAGGAGTTAGCCAAGAAAAAGAAGAAAAGGGATCTCAAAAGTGGAGAAATGTGGTGGCAAAGGGATGAAGAGGTAGCACCAGAAAGAAAGAGGAGGAAAAGCAAGGGAAGTAGGAGCAGCATTGATTGGTGGGTTGATAGTTTCAGTGGCGAGTTTCGGATGGGAAGACGAAGTAGTCAAGATTTTCCCAGTGGAGATATTCCCAAGAGTGGAGGTGTGAGTAGCACCCCTAGTATGAGAGGAACAGTTTGTTACATCGCTCCAGAGTATGGCGGTGGAGGGCAGCTCTCAGAGAAATGCGACGTGTACAGTTTTGGCGTTTTGTTATTGGTTTTGGTCTCAGGGAGAAGGCCACTCCAAGTTACAGCTTCTCCTATGTCAGAATTTGAGAGGGCTAATCTGGTTTCCTGGGCTAGGCAGCTTGCTCATTCAGGCAAGCTTTTGGATCTTGTTGATCCCAATATTCAGTTACTTGATAGAGAACAAGCATTGCTTTGCATCACTATTGCACTACTCTGTTTACAGAGATCACCTAACAAGCGCCCAACAATGAAAGAGATTGTTGGGATGCTTTGTGGGGACTCTGAGCCACCCCATTTGCCGTTTGAGTTTTCCCCTTCACCACCCTCCAATTTCCCTTTCGAGTCACGGAAAAAGGCCCGGTGAGTTCACGAGTGCTCGATTTACCATTTCACTGTTCAATGTAATCTTCATGTATTATTGTGTAGAAATTGTTAGAAGAAAAGCAAAATGTCATAATTTTCCCATCAGCTTTTTCTTTTGCATAATCATCTCTATATTTCCTGCACTTTGCAATTCTTGTGTTATGATGATGGAGTACATTAGTTATCTTTGGCTTTTGCTCCCACAATTAGCTGAATTGAAGGAATCCCAGGCTAAAAGTATCTGATATGACTCTTTGCTTCCACTTTCTAAAAGGTGAGTCCACCAGTAATTATAAAATTCAGTGCCCTTGAACTATTAAGGAGCTTGCTTTATTGCTTTCATAACTTACTTTTTTGGGTCCCAGAAGATATTTGACTCCTCCTTGTCTGTTGCCTTAAAAAAGTAGGATGAGTTTGTTTATAGTTTACTTATATTTCATTACAGATTAAACCCCTCTCATCCCATTGTCCTAGGGGTACTTACAAAGGAACCCATGGAATGCGTTAAACCTTTATTAGTTGCTATGTTTTCTTCAGTGTCATTTTTTCTTTTCATACCTACTTTGATTTGTTGTACTTGAGCTGAGGGTCTTCCCAAAGCAGCCTCTCTACCCCATTGAGGTAGGAGTAAGGTTTGCGTACACTCTACCCTCCCTAAAACCCCACTTGTCGGATTTCACTAGGTATGTTGTTGTATTCACTAATAATGTATTATCTAAGTAATTCTGTGACCATATACAATGTTACTAGTAAAATATATACTTATAACTGTTCATACTGCAAAATAAATGATATGCTTGGCAACAAGAATATATTGTGTTTCGTGAGAAAACAAAAGCAACAAGACGAGAGGTTAACAATGGCAAATGCCTGTTTGATGTTACAATAGTTGATATAATATATGACTGATGTTCTATTTTATGTGTTTACAGCTTATTGTTCATAGGAGTTCAGAGAACATGGATGGATACCTATATAATATAGCTGTTTAACATATAAGATCATCAACGTTTAAGAAACAAAAATGATAGACACCAAATTGGTTTCACATTTTTCACGTTCATAGGGGCTAATAACGTCAGTTCTCAATTACTGGAAATAGTTAGTGAAAGTTAAACAGTAATACAGTATTGTCAAAGATGAGGAGAAACTGAGTTCTATTCAGTACCCCGGAATTTGGTTATCCTTACAACCTACATTGTCATAATTTGTCTCTCGATATGTTTAATGAAATACATAAGCATCCTTTAGATGATAAGAGTCATGGAGATCATTTATATTGGACATGCTCTAATAGCCCGCGTATCATCATGATTCATGAGTATACTATCACCTTGTGCAGATAACTCACAGTTCATTTCGTTTCTCTGGTTAAATGTAGCAGAATTGTTTTGTGTGAGCCCTTGGGATATTTTTTCATTTATCATGTAACTTCGGTTTGATTTAAGATTGAATTAGTTCTTCATCGCTCTTGAAGTTGACATATGATAAACTTGAAAGGCACAGATGTAGACTTTGTAATGTTAGTTCTATCTGTATTTTTGTTTTCATCACATAATGTTTGTATGTTCATCAACAATTTGGATAAGAATTAAGATATTTGTGTTACTGTCTTTGTAGAGGTCACTGAAAGTTGTCTTGTTGTCAAAGAGGAGTAACTCAAATTTGATTCCAACACATGAACTGGTCTCATAACATGTCCCTCAAAAAAGCCTTTGACCCACAATGCTTTATGATAAACCAAACCAGACAAAACATATTGGTTGTCTTAGCAAATCATCATGATTTTGAAATTATCCTCTCCACATGATAGCCCTCTGGGATTCATCATTTAAAATGTTGGGTGTTATCTAGATATTTATGTGCATTGGATCTTTTTGATACTAGGTTACCGAAAATACGTATAAATAAATTATATAGTCAATCTCAACTAATTTGGAAACGAGTTATAATTGATTGATTGATTTACTAATGGTCAAGTGGTCACTGTTTGAATTGTCTCACGTTCAAATCTCAGTGGTCTGAAAACCCAAGTTGTCAAGCAATGCCAGGCGTTAAAGGATTGTGGAGAGAAAATCATTTATTGGGGGTGGATTTTTTCTTTTCTCTGCCTCATACTTTGAAATGGAAGGTGGTCAATTTTATTTGGTTGTATAGTTTTGGCATGACTTGTACGTAACTAGATTTTTAGGTGTGTTCGAGTCATCTTATATGCATTTCAAGTTTCAACTAACAATAATAATAACAAATTCAGTGCAATTCTTTGACTGTACGAGTATATAAATCTCAACTAATTCACTAATGATATAATATCTTTTAATTAATTTTAATTATGTATAAATAGTTCCATCATCTCTAGCCCCAAGCTACTTTCGCCCCGGTATTGACGCATTAAAACCCTAAATATTTTCTGTGTCGCGTCAATCCTCATAAGAAAAAGATTAGTGGAGTATATCTTTTTAATTCAAAGAAAAAGACTATTTTAAAGTCAATGTTCAAGATCCTACAGTAATGTAAAGATTTTTTTATATTATCAAGTCATTATCTAGACACATACTTTGTAAAATGGTTCATTCATGTTTGTTGTTAGGAGCAACAAGCAGCCCCTATAGTTTTCGTTACCAAGATATTTTTTTTTTCATTGCTCCCAGAAATTTTTGGGAAATCCACTCCCATGCTGCAAACAGTCAAATCTGAACTGAATCATGTCGCTCTTCTTTCTTTCCTCGCGAGCAGGAAGCTTAAGTTTGAGACGAAAAATGATTTAATTTGACCACTGTACATTGCTAACATATAAAAAAAAGGGAATAATCTAAATTTTTTACCTTTTGACTGTGGTATATGTATATGTAAATCCTAGATGTGAAAATATATGAAATTCATATTTTTAGTATAACTTCTACAGAATGAAATTTATAATTTTAAAAATAAGATATGTTTCTTATTACAATAGGTAAAAATAATTTTAGTAATATAAAAATTATTTATTATAACTGTGTTTATAAGCTTTTTAAACTCAAAGGGACGATTAAATATCTCCATCAATTTCTGCTCTCTCTAAACCACATCTACCATAAGTGGTTGCTATTATTTCGAAGTCATTGAACTTTAATTAGGTTCATACGTTATTTTCTTCTGATAGTGAACTACAATTTTTTTGGTGAAGTTGTATTCATAAAAACAAAGTTAGGGAGGTGATTTAAACTTATTAAATACTCGCTCTGTTCTTTATTACTTGTTCACTTTTGAAGTGACACACCTATTAAGAAAACAATAATTGATATATTGAATTTACAATTTTACCCCTACTAATTATGAAGTGGATGAATTAAAAACTTAAGATTTTCAAAAAGTTCTACATTTTTCAAAGTAATAAATTGAGGGTATAATAGAAAAAAAGAAGCTATAATTAGAGATAACTAAAAAATGAAAAGTAAACAAGTAATTAGGGACAGAAGAAATATTGTGGGTGTGGGGTGGGGACTGGGAAGTTAAGAATTAAATACTGCACTAAAAAGTCAACAAAAAAATAAAGGAGAGAGACCTAAATTAATTTAATTTTTATCCATTTTTAACAAAAAAAAAATTGCACGTTTTAATTTGAATACTCATCCATATCAGCCGCCCTAAGTATGTTTCTCAAATCTACTTCAGATGAGATAATCGAAATGTGCATGAACTAACCTAACTTCATAAATAAAAATATTATCCACCCTATAAGACACTTATGTACAATGCAATTTTAATGTGAGTCAATAAATCTTATAAATAATTTTACACGTCTTTAGATAAAACTTAATTCAAATCATACTTAATAGGAGTATATTTTTCAAGAAAGTTATATAGGAGTACCATTTAACTAAACATGATTTGTTAAGTATCCATCAAAAATTTGAGTGAGTAAAACATTTGCACTCTATAATTGGAACTTTTTTCTCAAAATGGTAAGATTAAGAATCTCATTTTCACTTATTCAAAATTTTAACATGCGAAGATACAATATTTTTGATAAGATAATATCCAAGTCTTTTTAGGAGACATCAATTCATTGAGATTTATGATATATGATTGAAAATGAGATTTATGAAATTTTGAAGTGGTATTTTGACATGTATTTTATTTGATAATTTTTTTAAAAAATAATTATGAGTGGAAGCCTTGAAAACAAAAGATTTGGTCTTGATTTAGTTTTCGAGATCTTAAAGACGTAAAAAAATAGATTAAATTTTAAAAATCTAATCAAATTTAGTGGTAAATTAAATAATAATTAAAGTATGATTCAAAATTTATGGTTAATGAATGAAGTATTGAAAATATCCCTAAACTCAATACAAATTATTAGTTTCATTTTTGAACTATTAACTGTCTTAAAAACACTCTCTTACTTGACTAATTAAACTTAAATATACCCTCGAGTCTTGCAATATGAATGAATTACATCCTTAAATTCTCGTTAAGTTTAGGGGTGGGGGGTTCAACACTTCTTTCGGGTTTTTTTTAATATTAAGAGTACATGTTTCTACAAGAATGTGCGATCACTTGTTATATCATGTGGTGGATCAATGATGTATCTAAATTTAATTAATCAAATAAAGAAGTATTTTAAAGAGGATTAACAAGTCAGGAATGAAACAAATAAATTGGGTAAAAATTTAGAGATATTTTTGATGCTTCACTCTTACTTAGCTAGCGTTTGGCCATAGATTTCTAAATATTCTTAGCAAATATTATTTGGGTGAAAATTTGGGTGAAATTTCACCATGTGTTTGGCCATAGTATTTGGAAAATATATTTCACTTTTTTAGAAAAATTTGATTTATACCCATAAATTTAAAAAACTATCAAAACTAACCATAAGTTTGTTTTACAAGTCAATTGAATTTTCATTGCAACAATAACAAATAGTGTCCATGACACTAGAACAATGTGGTAGTTTGGAGTGAGTGCAACAAGCAACATTCCATACATCGTGAAGTAGACAAATCACATGACTTTGTTACCCTGAGCCGATTGTTCATCATTTTCATCAACAACCATATCATCATTTAATATTCACTAAATATTTCATCACTACTTTGGTGTTCACGTGAAAAATTATG